GATGAGGGAGGAGGAGAAGGAGGAGAAGGAGGAGGAAGGAGGAGGAGGAGGAGGAGAAGGAGGAGGAGGGAGGAGGAGCGGGAGGCCAGGTGAGAGTCGTTTCCCTTGCCAACATCTGGATTTCTGCACCTTCCACCCGCCCCGCGCTCCCGACATCGCCGGATGGAGGGAAAGGCACAGACTTGGTGTTTCTCCTCCGCTCAGGAGAAACTCCAGGCTCACGCGCAGATCCTCAAGGACAGGAGAGAAAAGATGCTGGGGCTGAAAGCGGCAGAGGAAGAAAAAAGCTTGGACTTGCTCGTGAGTGACCCTTCCCTTGTCCCTCCGCCCGTGATGATGAATGTGAAGGCGCTCCTGGGCTCCCTGCGCCTGTCACCGCTCTCATGGGGAAGAATTTCTCCCCGGTGTCCAACCTAAACCTGGATTTCACGAGGTTGTTGTGGATCTCTACCTCCCTCCATGTGCTCACAATGGGGCACATTCCCCCTGTTAACAGACCGAAAACAGGAATCACCCGATCACATCTTTTTAGCATTGTTTTCCTTTTTCCTGATCTCTATCACTGACTAATCTGTTTATGGGTTTATTTTGCGCCTTTCCTTGTCCAAAGGTCTGGAGACTTTTGGGTACAAAGTTTATGGACCATGGGAAAATGCTTTGCCAGCAATCCCTACCTAGAAATGGCCAAAAAAAAGAGAAAAATTCTCTTGATTCTCCCCAGGTTTTGCAAGAACCCTGGAATTCCTGGCAGTGACAAATCCCCACTTAATTCCCCCAGCTGGCATTTCCCTCCCCCAGCCCTGTCCCAGCCCCTCATGCCCACTGCCCTTGCAGGAGCGGGTGGACGCGGAGCGGCAGAGGGTCCGGGCCCAGGTCAAGGAGTTGCACCAGCTCCTGGAGGGGCAGGAGAGGCTCCTCCTGGACCGGCTGGCAAAGCTGGACCGGGAGATCGTGCGGAGGCAGGAGGAGAACATCAGCAGACTCTCAGAGCAGATCTCCTCTGTGGGCCAGCAGATCCAGGAGCTGGAGGACAAGTGCCAGCAGCCGCCCTGGGAACTCCTTCAGGTGAGACCTCAGAGCCCTCGGAAAACCCTTGGCCACCTGTGGTGCCACCAGGCCAAATTAATCCTTACCAGAATGCCAGGACCGTGGTTTGAGTAGGAAGAGGCCTCACAGAGCACCTAGACCAGAAAAGGGACACCTTCCACTGGGCCACGTGACTCCAATCCCCATCACACCTGGAGATATAAAAACTCCTTTTAAAATCCATTATTTCCCCCCTATATTATTTCCTTCAATGCTCATGAAGTCATCCCAGCTGTCCACTGGAATGTCATGGATCCCCTCCAGGGCCCAGCTCGCCCGTCACTGGGGTTCACCTGTCCAGCTGAACACCCCCAGCCGTGGTCTGGTTCCTTTGTCCACAGCAGGAAACCACTGGTGCTCCCCTGGTCTGCAGGCTGCCACTGAAGTCACCATTAGACCCCACCTCTGGGCTGGGCTTCACCCCCGCTTCGATAATTAAATAACCAAATATAAAAAAAATCAAATATTCAAATAGCTAAATATTCAAATATCCAAACATTTAAACACCCAAACAAACAGTCATATATTCAAATAAGCAGAGATGTTCATTAGCAGCAGTCACACCCATCCTGGGAGGGGGATAATGCTGATAAATCAAATGCTCATTAAGGTTGCCATGGCCTCACCTGAATTCCCACAGATCCAGAATCCCTCGTTCAGGCCGAGCAGCGCCCCAGGGTCACCCCACAGCCCTCCCTGGTTATTCACCCCAGGCTGGCTCCACTCTGAGCCCACCGTCCCTCTGATCCGTCTCTCTGTCTCTCCCCTGCAGGACAGCAGAGACATCCTCAGCAGGTTTGTGGCTCCTCTCCTGCATTCCTGACACCTTCTTATTGTTTGTCCCCGTGGCTGGTGGACTCCGAAACCCCAGCAAGCCGTGACCTGTGTGACAGGGAGGTGCAGGACACAACTGGGACACCACAAAAGTCCAGTTAGGATGCTGGAGACCAGGGTCAGGTACTGGGGGGTGAAGAAGCTGCTCTCAGATCCATGAAAACCTCCCTCTTCCTGGAGGGATGAGCTTTTCCTTCTCAGCCTGTCAAAAATAGGGAGCCAACAGCTAAAAGCGTTAAATTCGGAGGGAATCCTCCACCCTTTAACAGACCTGTTTGTGCCCCCTTCGGATTGGGAGATGATAAGGAGGAAAGGGGACAAGGAAAGTAATTTCTATTCCCTGATTTCCACTAGCAGAAAATCTTCACCATCCAGAGCAAATATTCTCCAGGAGCTCCTTGATGAGGGGCAGATCCCAAAAACCTCCTGTAGATGCTAAAACCTAAGAGGAACGGAATTATAAAATCATGGGAACTTGGGATGGTTTGGGTTGGAAGGGGCCTTTCAGGTCCCATCATTCCATATTCCTGTGGAGAAAATCTCCCTCTTTCCAGGCTGGAGAAGCAGGGTGCCCCGGAGCCAGTGGAGACTTCACCAGAGCTGGCAGAGGAACCCACAGGGTTGCTCCAGAAAAATGTCACCCTCAAAGAGATGCTGAAGAAGTTCCAAGGTATGGAGGGACCAGGGAAGAGGGCTGGAGGCACCTTAGGAAATCACCCCTCAAAGGTGAAAATCTCAGATATTTTCGCACGGCAACTTTAGAAAGGAAAGCCATGGGACATCCCCCAGCAACCAGCAAAACCCCCACACTCCAGAGCCTCATTTCTGCTCCAAGCCAAATTCCCTTTGTTGCCTTTCCCACTCTTCCAATCCCACACACGGGCATCAAACCATCCCTGGGGCATCCCAGACTGGGGAAGAGGGGACAAACCCAACCCCAACAGCTCTCCAGGGGCAAGACCCCCTCCTGACAGCCACCCCATCCCTCCGCAGTCAGCCTGACGCTGGATCCGGACACAGCCCATCCCCGGCTGGCCCTGTCCGAGGATGGGAAGTGTGTCTGGTGGGAAGACACCCGGAGAGCCGTCCCCGACCACCCCAAACGCTTCGACTCCTCGCGCTGCGTCCTGGGCCGGGAGGGACTCGGCTCTGGCCAGCACTACTGGGAGGTGCAGGTGGGCAACGGGGCCGCCTGGGCCGTCGGTGTGGCCAAGGAATCCGTGCGCAGGAAAGGCCGGATCAGCGTCAAGCCCGAGGTGGGGATCTGGGCCGTGGGGCAGTGTGGGAGCCAGTGCCAGGCTCTCACATCCCCCACCGTCCCCATCTCCCTGCCTGAAGCCCCCAACGTGGTCGGGGTCTATCTGGACTATGAGGCCGGGCAAGTGGCATTCTTTGACTCCCAGAGGGAGATCCTGATGTTCACATACCCTCCGATGTCCTTTGGTGGGGAGCAGGTCCTGCCCCTGCTCTGCCTGGGCAGGGGGTGCCAGTTCACGCTGTCCCCGTGATCCACCCCGTGGTGGGTCCCTCACCTGAGCGGGTTTCGGGGCGGAAACTTCCCCTTTCTCCATCATTTCTGACAATGAGAAGCCACAGCTGGTTCAGAGAAATGTTGATTTGAGGGCTGGGAGAGACTTTCTGTGCCAGGGCTGTGATGAGGGGGAGAATGAGAGGGGAAAAGGATGGAAAATAAAGGGAAATTGGACAAGGAATGGGAAGAATTGGTGTGATCAGAACAATCTGCTGGCACCTGAGCCATTTCCTGGGACCTGGACATCCGGAAGCCTGGATATCTTGGGTCCATCAGCATCATCTCCTGGATCCACCAGAGGCTGGAGACTCCTGGGGTCTGTCAGGGTCAGATCCTGGGGTCCCATCGGGGTCAGATCTTGGGGTCCCATCGGGGTCAGATCCTGAGGTCCATTGGGATCATGTCCTGGAGTCTGTGGGGGTCATGTGCTGGGATATATCTGGGTCAGGATTGCATCGTGGGACGCATCGGGATCAAGTCCTGGAAGCATTGGGTCACACCCCAAAATCCAGGATCAGATCCTGGGTGCCATCGAGCTCATCCCTTCCCAATACAGCCACCCAGCCAGCGCTGCCTGTGGCTCCCTGGTGGTCTAGTGGTTAGGATTCGGCGCTCTCACCGCCGCGGCCCGGGTTCGATTCCCGGTCAGGGAATGGCCGTTTTCTTTTTTCTTTCAGTAAAGCAATTTTTTTTTTTGTAAATCTCTTCATGTTTAAACATCTCCTAGCCCCTCAAACACCCCTTTTCTCCTCTTTTTGTGCCTCTCCCTCCCCGTGGGCCATCCCCTTCCACCCGCCCCAGCGCCTTCTGTTATTGAGCAACAGATAAATAAATAAATAAGCAATAACGATAATTGCATTTTTTTTTCCGTTGCGTTGATACGAAAGGCGTTTAGCGGCTGTGCTAACATCACTGCAGTTGAACACTGAAATTTAATAGTGGTGAGTATTGAGGGGTTAACTGTTTATTACGCATTTTTTACAGTGAGTAATCATCTCAAAAGAGTACAAGATTTTTAAAAAGAACAATAATATGGAAAACGGGAAAATTTTGAAAAGGTAACAGCAATTTGAAAAACGGAATAATAATTTGAAAAAAGGGGAGGATGAATGCTTTTAAAAAGGGAAATAGTAATGGAATAGTAATTTTAGAAAGGGAAAATTAATTTTTAGAGAGATTAATGCTTTGAAAAGGGGAAAAGTTATTTTAAAAGGAAGTAACAATTTAAAAACAGAAATAATAATTTATGAAGGAATAATAATTTGAAAAAAGGAAAGCACAGCAGGAAAAGGGGAATTTTTAGGAATTTCTCCAAAAACAAGTTCTGTCAGGAGTGGGATTTGAACCCACGCCTCCATGAGGAGACCAGAATTCCCGAGGGAAGGTAAATCCTTGAGTCTGGCGCCTTAGACCACTCGGCCATCCTGACGACAGGGATTCGGGGCAAAAGAGAGCAAACTGAGAATTTAAAAATCGGGGTTCGTTGGGCTTTTCTTTTTTTTTCTTTTTTTTGATAGGGGGATTTTTTGGGTTTACTTTTTTTTTGTTTGTTGCTTCGTGGGGGTTTTTAAAATACTAATAAAGGGTAATTATTAAAAAGGTAGAATAATAATGATTGTTAAAAATAAAAAAGAAAAATTAAAAGGAATAGTAGCTGAGGGGAAAAGGATTTAAAAGTAAAATAATGATTTCTGAAAGGAACAATCACTCTCATAGAATAAAAACAAGAAATCGAGGTATAATAATAATAATTTTAAAAGGAACGATCATTAGGACAATTAATATTATTATTATAATTGTTATTTTTTTAAAAGGAACAATAACTTACAAAGTAAAAAGGGTTTAGAAAAGGAATCATAATTTCAAAAAGGAGGAATGGCTTTAAGAAGAATGAAATAATAAAACCTGGAATAGTAGTTTGAAAAGGAATAATAAAAAAATAGGGAATTATTTAAATAGTGAAAAAGAAAATAGTGCTCGCCCAACGTGGGGCTCGAACCCACGACCCTGAGATTAAGAGTCTCATGCTCTACCGACTGAGCTAGCCGGGCTCTCAAGAGCTTCGTGTTAATGACCCGACACTTCATGTACAAATGATCGCACTTCCTCCCCTTTTTTTCCTGGGAATCCCTTCAGCGAGCAGATCTTTTTGGGGTGGAAAAGGCTGGGGAAAAACCTCTCCCGCCAGGCAATGTTGGACTTTCCGCCAATTCGGCCTCCGCGATCAAAAGCCCTTTTTAAACACTTCCCCGCTCGGATCGGTCTCCGCGGGATTATCACCCCGGGGGTGGAACTGCGTGAAATTTGGCGGAATTCTGTGGAAAATACGCTTTTTTTGGTTGTTGTCGATCGGTTTTGAGGCTGGAAGGGGCGGAGCCTGCGGCACGGCGCGTTTCTGTAGTGTAGTGGTTATCACGTTCGCCTCACACGCGAAAGGTCCCCGGTTCGAAACCGGGCAGAAACAGCACCCTCAAACGCTATTTTTAATTATTTTCGTCTCTCAACATTCCTCCAAATTCCTTCATGGCGATGCTGGCAAACAAAAAAAAATTTAAAAGTGTATTTATAGCAGCGAACTATTTAATTTTTACTCCTTTCCCTGGCGCTGGTAAAAATGCATGTTTATAACCCAGAAGAGGTTTATTCCAGTTTATCCACGGACAAATTTAGTTGCCCTGCGGACAAACCTTTTTGAGCAGAAACCCTTACCAGCTTCAGTGTCTCTCCCGAAAAAACAAACGTCTTCAAAAATATCACTCCGAGGGAAGTGTGGGAATACGATTGTCGCAGGAGTGGCTCAAATTCGTTAATATTCAATGGATTATTTGGAGTCGCCGCTTCCTATCTTGAGCTACAAATCCACCGGAAATGGACTGGAACTGGAGAGATTACTTTGACTTTAAATAAGTACTAAAATATTAACAACTTCTTCCCTGACCGGGAATCGAACCCGGGCCGCGGCGGTGAAAGCGCCGAATCCTGACCACTAGACCACCAGGGAGCTGCTTTCCCCCCAAATTTCACCATTCCCAGCGACTTTTTACATCCAACGAGCCAAAGCTGCCTCTTCCCATCGGGCCCAGGACACCGCTTCGCTCCGGGCTCGGAAAAATAGGAAAATATCATAGAGAATTCAAAATTAATTTAAAAATCCCCCAAATAATAATTCAAGATAATAAACGATTCAGTCAAAACCAGGGAAGCATTAAAAATGATAAGATACAATTAATAAAAATAGAAAAAATTAATTTAAATAATAGGAATTGTCTTCCCTGGTGGTCTAGTGATGAGGATCCGTTGTGTGGCCCGGATTCATTTCCCTATTAAGAAACACATTCTGGAAACGACTAAATTCTTCAAAAATCATAAATTTTAACCTCGGGGTCGCCCCTCTCCTCGACCCCAATGTCGCCTGTCCGTGATTTCACGCGAAAGCTCCCTGGTTCGGAATCAGGCAAAACTCACCGATTTCGGGGCAATTTTTGTGGGGGTTGAAGCATTTCCCTGATGCTTTCCTTTATTTCCGTCCTTCAGCGCAACCTCTCAAACGCCGCTGGAATTAAAAGGGATAAGGGAACGAATGAAAAGCGATAAGGGAATGAAAGAAACGCGATAAGGGTCGAAAGCGATAACGGAATCCAAAACGACGAGGGAAGCTTTTCTCGTAAGGTTTAGCGAGATTCGGGAGAATCCACAGAGGAAATTTGGCTTCTCGATATTGCAGTAAAGGTGCAAAGAGCTCCGAGCGTGCGGTTTCTGTAGTGTAGTGGTTATCACGTTCGCCTCACACGCGAAAGGTCCCCGGTTCGAAACCGGGCAGAAACAGCAGGAGTTTTTTTTTTTTTTTCGGGTTCTTCCTCCGCTGTTTTTCCAGGCCTGATGGGATTTGGGTCGTTTTGTGGGGCACGGTGACAATTCCAAGCGGTTTAACTTTGGCCGGTTGGAAGAAGTTCAGCTTTGCAGGATGAGCTGACGCTCCTGTATTTTGGGGGGTCTGAAATAGTTTTAATCAGGGAATTCCTCCTCCGATGATCCAAACGGGGGCGTTTTGGGGGGCTCTTGGTCTTGTGCAGCCTCGGGAGGGACTCCCGGGTGGGTGTCGGGAAAAAAACCTCCAAGTGAGGAAGGGAAAAAAGGGCCAAGGGATGTAGACAACACCGCCAGAAAAAGGAAAAAAAAAAAACCTTTTTCCCGTTAATTCGCACCAAAGTAATTCCCTGGAATTAAGACCCCCGTGTTTCTGTAGTGTAGTGGTTATCACGTTCGCCTAACACGCGAAAGGTCCCTGGTTCGAAACCAGGCAGAAACACTTGTGTTTTTGGGGGGGTGTAATTAACTCCCTTTTCCACCCCCTCTCTAGCTGGGGTTTAACTTCAGGGTTGTTTTGAGGGGGTTCTGAGCTGCCGGGGTGCGGTGGCAGATTTGCTCCCGGCTTCTTCTACATACATCATTTCTTGCGTCTGCTTCCCAGAGGAGAAATTGTTAAAAAAAACAGATTATCAAAGGCACAGGTAGGGATAAATCGCATTTCAATCCCGCTGCTCTGTCAAGTCCCATCTTTGTCCGTCCCCGGCCAAGATGGAGAGGAAAGGGTGGAAAAAGATTTTATAACGTTCAAATCCAGCCATTCCTCGGTGTCGAAACCAAGCAACGACTCCCCCCGCTTCCCTCAAAACATTTTGGGTTCGTTCATCCCCAGGACAAGCTCCGGGGAAAAAAAAGAAAAAGGTATTATGTGAAGGGGGAGAGGAGGAGGCGTTGCAGTCACGCGTTCCTGCTCCTGGATGGAATTGTTTGTTCTTGACCTGGAACAGCAGCCAAAATTCCGCGTTCAACACCCTCCCGCTCGGCCGTGTTTCGTCAGAGCTCTTGGCCCCATATTTCCCCTTATTCCATAAATTCGGGTGTTAAGAGAGCCGGGCAGGCCGAATGGCAAGGTTTTTCCTGCGGGAATTCATCCTCCTCATCCTCCTCCGCTTTTATTCCCGTTGCTCTAGCAGATCCAGGCTGATATCTCCTTATCCATGGTGCGGTGCGCTCGGATTTGAAGGGAAAAATCGGGAAAAATCAATAAAATGATCCAAAATCCTCGTGAAACCCAAGGTTCCCAGCAGCGTCACCCGCAGCTCCCCCCGGGTTTGTGGAGCTGCTAGAATGTCCATAATCTGCTTTTTCTCCTCCACAGAAAGGGGGAGCCGCTGGATTCTGGAGAGTATTCCCTCTGTGTCGAAAACATGGAGCTGAGTCCCACCTCTGGAAAACTGGGAAAACTGCCCAATTCTAGTGTAGTCTGGGACAGGGTGTCCTGGCTGGGGATAAAAAGTGCTTTTTGAGGGGTAATTTCTGAGCTCCCAGGCGCCTGAGAAGCCGCTGAGAAGGAGCCAGCGTGGGGGATGAGCCAAGGATGGGTTGGGATGGGTTAAACCGGGAGGATTTCACCGTTCGGGGGGTAGGGGAAAAAGGAGAGAAAACAGGCAGACACCTTTTTCTCACCAAATTCAACCCAAAATCCTTTGTCTAGGTCGTGTTTTGGTAGATTAAGCTCCATGTGCAGCTCCCTGGTGGTCTAGTGGTTAGGATTCGGCGCTCTCACCGCCGCGGCCCGGGTTCGATTCCCGGTCAGGGAAGGAGCTGTTTTGTCCAAAAAATTTCTTTTGTTTTTTTCATATCTGTCCAGAATTTAATATCTCCTAACCCCCAAAATACCCCTCTCCTCTTTCTTGTGCCTCTCCTTTCCCGGGAGGCTTGCCCTTCCACCTGCCCCGGCTCCGTCTTTATTGAGCAACATATTAAAAAGTAGAAAAAGGGAAATAAATTGCAAAAGGCAACAATAATTTG